AAAGTATGGACAATACATCCAAAGAAAATACTATAGAACCAAAATATGAACGTCAATACCCTGGTGTTCAAATTGCTTTTGCTTTATTTAGTCAAGTCTATACTATTTGCTATAACCCAGTACTTAAGGAGGTTAAAATTAATCTGGAGGGATTTTTTATTTCAAGTGTGTGGGATAAAATATTATTATAAATGATGAGAAAAACTTCTATTAAATATTTATAATAACATCAACATTGATGCAACTTATAACATACAACAATTCACAAGGATTTCAACTAAATTCAACAAATAATGGTTGATCATCATCTATGTACAAGAAAATAAGAGACTCAAAGACAAATAAATATAGACTTAGCATTCTGAAAACTTAAATTTAGGAAGTTTGCAAGAAATGCACAAATAACCATAAATTAAGTGATGGGAGCAATATGAAAGACATCAGGGGCTGCCCCAGTTCAAAAGAAGGAGAAGTCACACATGGTTGTGGGTATAAGAAGCGTTCTGATATCAAAAACTTGAATGGTAGGATTATGAATAAAAGAATAAGTTAAGGCAGAGACTTTGAAGGGGGAGAAACTGGCATGGTCAAAGGCTCAGAGACTTGCAGATGAAAGGGATTAGAAATCAGGTTGGTGCCATGAGAAGAAGCCCTGAGCCAAAGGCCAACTTCAGAGGCTCCCGTGGGTGACATCATCACTCACTGAGAAGGATAATTTGAAAACGTGGTTGGTGACTCAGAACACAAATATTTGTGAGGTTGTCACAGTAAGGGGTGTCTTACATTTTTGAGGTTCATAGAGCAGGTTAGGAACAGCACTAGCTTTCAAATGCTCACAATCCAAATCAATGTTAAACAAGTTAAACTGCAGGCAACAGATCTGTATTTTCCACCTAGCCTAGAGAATTAAAGTCACTGACAAGTCCCTGCTCCAGCCTCCAAGCCACCTTTTATATTGTACTTCCCTCCAAGTTCCTCTGGGTTTTCATGAGGGATCTGGATTAACTATTTCCAGTGGCCAAATTACTCAAAACGTCCTTCTAACTTAAGATTTCACTACAATGAGCACATTTTTCTAAATGAACTAATCAATTTTCTCCTGCCTCCGGGCCTTTGTCCTGGCTCCTCACTCTGCCTCTGTTCCCTAGCCTATGGGGGTAACTCACTCCCTCACCTCCCTCCAGGCCCTTCCCAGGGAGCTCTTCTCCAACACCTAGCCAATATCAAAACCTCACCGCAGCCCTCTTCATGTTTCTTGATAACTTTATCACCTTCTAACATCCTATGTAATTTATTTATTTGTCCGATTTATTATCTGATTCCTCACCCTGGGGGCCCAGGATGTCTATGTTAGTCACTCATGTATTCACAGTGCTTAGAATAATGCCTAACATATAGTAAGTGCTCAATAAATCTTACATGAATAAATACACGTGTGAATGAAGTACATGCACAATATTTACATGAGTATTTGAAACAGTTCCTATTTTGCTTTATAGCACTTACTATTCTGACTACTATTTCTCAAGACTTTTACTGAATCAAGGAAGATTTATAAAGCATCTCCTATATAATAATCATCATTGTATCTAGTTCTTATAAATCATATATAGTGGTTTTGATATTTAGGAAGACAACAAGAAGAAAGGAATAATAAATAGAGTATGAATACTATAGGATTTAGCTAGTACTTTAAGGGAGGAAAGAAAGATACTCACTCTGACATCTTCAGGGGTTTCCCTCAGTGGGTCATTTGCTACATCTAGCAAATGAAGAAAAATGTTCTACAATAAAGCATGGGCTTTGGAATTGCACAGATCTAAATTCAAATTCCAGCAATACCATTCATTATCCATACCTCATTCTCCTAGTCATTAACTTCTCTGGGTCTAAGTGATTTCATTTTTAAAATGAAGATCTCAATCTTAACCTCACATGGAGAATGTGAACTATCAAATGAGATCATCTATGGAAATAATTAGTCAAGTCCTTGGCATGTAGGAGCAATTAAATAAATGCATGTGGAATGAATTAATTCTTGATAAGTGGGGAAAATATAACTAGAAAAATCTGGCTTTTCTTCAAGCTATTTCTGCTGTGTTGTACCCACCTATGCCTTTACTCATGGTCCCTCTGCCTTCGATATAGTAAAAAGAGTGAATTGCGTTATTTATTGATTAATTACTATGTATACTATTATTCCCATTTTGCAGAGAAGGAAATTGGGCTTAGTTAGATACTTTAAGTAACTTGCACAAACCCACGAGGTAAGCGGCAGAGTTAGAATTTGAGCCCAGATGAGCCCGCCTCCAAAGCTAGCCCAGCAATCTTGGTCTTATTCTTGGTCTGTGGAGCAATGTGATGGCTGCAAATTCCCTAAACTCGTGGTCGAGACATTATGGTTTTCTAAGCTTACATAGAGCCTTATGCATATTTCTTTCATAATTTACAGTAATTTCTTAAACTGAATTTGTTTCTCTTCTTTTTACATGTCTACACCACCTTCTAGAAGCATCTCTTCTATGTAACTGTTTCTGTTTTTAGATCTTGAATGGGTTTTCACTGAACACCTTTACAAGAAGTCCAAAGAAACCCATAAAAACTAATGTTTGTTGAACACGTATTTAGCTATGGGTTCTGGTCTGATTATTCCACTTCTCAACTCATCCATTCATTGTGTAATAGATACTGCCTTTATCTTCACATCAGAGACGATGAAAATGAAATGCAATGAGGTAATGAATTCATACAACTTATATTTCAGGACTAGGATTTGAGCTCAAGCATTTAGATTCCAGAGCCCATATTCTTAATCTTGAGACTAGATTTCCCCTAATACACTGGGGCTGGTTACAGCTTTTCTTTTTTCATAAATTTTAAGAAAATTCATTTTTATAGAGTCTAAATTGTACTTCTAAAGAAAAAAATTGTACTTCTATGAACTATGAAGTACAATTTTTGGCAAGTCTTTATTTTTCCTGTGACGCTGGCATCTGCAACTAGTCAAACTTAAAAAGCTCATTTACATAAAATAGATAAATCTATAATCTAATAGAAATTCCAAATTTTAGTTCAGCACCTATAAAATTGTTAGTGGTATCAGTTGCCCCGTGCCAATTTGGAAACACCATGTTGGTGATCTTCATTGCCTTAAACAGACTCCAAGCTGTGATCTTGTGAGATGCTGGATTTTAAATCATAACCTTGCATAAACTCAAAAGCAAAAATAAACTTTAACAAGACTTTTTTCTTTCAATACTAACTCAATATTTTTTTTTTTTTTTACTTTCTAAGTAAAATGATTTGAACATAGTCTATTTTTAAGACAGAGCAAAGAATGTGTTCACAGCAAGTTGGAACACTGTGCGAGTGCACTGGCTTCCCTGTTATCTGAAGGACAGAGCATTAAATCACAAGGAGGGGAAAGCCAGCATGTTCTCTTAGAATACAAATAGATTAGCGTCAGTAAGAGCTTTGTCCAAGAAAGGGAAAAGACACCTACCCAGAGAATAAATCATACATGTGAAACCTATAATTTTAAGAAATATTTTCAAGAAACGTTTTAGCTGATGAATATGACTACTAGATAAAGAAAGCACAGATTAAAAGTTCCAGTGAATTTTTTTTTTAAAGTGGACTTTCAACACTTGGTCAAGGTACCCCACTTTTTATCTATGTTCCTTTATA